CTGTGCAATTAGGCGTAGCACCACAAAATTAGCTGCACTCTTACTGAAGCAAAACTCCTGGTAACATTAAAAAAACATTGATTTTATTACTGGAAAATATTTTAGGTGTTATTTTTCAACTACTGTTAACTAAATCTGGAGCCAAGCAGAGAAGGTTCTGAGTCTGAGCTGTTTGACTGCCTATCTGCTAACTGATGGCCTTTTATAATAGGATCAGTCCATAAAAACATAGAAAAATAATAGGATCAGTCCTTAAAAACAATAGAAAAATATTTTTAAAACCAGACCCCAACCACTTCACAATCAAATTAGGTCAATAATGAATAAACAAAGTGTTTATTTTACCACTGAATGTTCACTATGAGGCTGATCTACAGAAACACTTTTCTGTTTAGAAAGAGAAGACTAAAGTATTAGAATTCCACTAATTAGCCTGATGGCAGGTACAGAACAATCCTGACAGTACACACAGTACCAGGGTCTTTCTTTACAAGGATTGAGGCTCTATATTTTAAAATAACTTACTCTGGTCACTTATTTAAGTTCCTTGAAAGTAAAGGGTTCTCACTTTTAAAGTCACCTCGTTAAGAAGAGCTGTAAGGACAGAGCCACGTTGGAAAGTTCATGCAGTATCACTTACTGAGGAGTGGAAAATGAGAACCCTTAGGACCCTGCAATGCCACCCGAGCCTCGCGTTACCAGCTTCCACTTTGGCCGTGTTTCTTCAGCCCCTTCCTATTAATTGCACATTACAGCACACAGCAGATCAACAAACCACCCTGGAGCCAACCTTCTGCCGTTGGAAAGATGACGTAGTAGGCAAAACTTAACCAAGAGTACCTGCTTTTTCTGTAGTAGTCCATCAACAGCATTTAGCATTGATTTAATTTCTTTATCAAGCCAATTTACAAAGATGGTGACGCAGCAGGGCCATCAGTGAGAGTGCCATGAATAAAGCAGACACTCTCTTCCCCACTCCTATGTGCTCTCAAGAGCCTGCCTCAAATTGAACACCTGCCAATTGCAGCTTCACGCCCAAACAGCTCAAAAGATCTAAAATATTTTTGTTGTTTGATGGATTGTTAGGTTCTTATATGTCTCTGACCCCTGCTCATTCAAATTTAAGAGATCTTCAAGCACAAAATAAAACCTGAAGAGGTCAAGTATAATTTGCAGAGTCAGAATGGAAGAATTCTGGTTGTTTTTTTACCTTTATTAAGTTCTGGAACTTCTTATTGCTTTGGAGCAGGTCTTTATAGTGACTAACAGCTTCATTGTGTCCACAACAGAACACACCGTATTTTTCTTTCATTCTCTCCCCATTTTCACCTGAAAACTAATGGAAAGATAAGAAAGAGAGACATGAATATTAAGAGTAAACCTATCTCCACTGCTTTTACTCGTTACCTCCACCCAGGTTTAAAATGGTTTTATGGTAACTGATTTCTGAGACATTTCTTTAATATTTCCATTTCTTCTGTACCAGAAATGAGAGATTTATGCAGTGTGGCATCTGAGAGCTTGGAATTCCACAAGATTACCAAATATTAAATGATGGATATCATTATGAGAAATTTTAAAATGATTTCTAGGCCTCTGCACTTAAAAAGGCTGAGGACTGTAAAGGTGAAGGGCAAAAAATGGTCATGACATATGAAAGAAATTGGTGCATTGACTCCCTATCGGAATGGGTGCTAAAGATGGAATGAGTCCAAAGGATCTTTACTGTATTTTTAAAAGCTCAGAACCAAGAAGCTCAACATTAAATGCAGGAGAGCCACGTTTGGGATGGACACCAGGATTATATGACTGTACTTTTAGAACAAATGAAAAATAGAACCAAACCATCCACGGTCGCATGTCCCACAACACACATACGCACGTGCCCAAAGAACATTTAAAACCATCCACGGTTGCATATCCCACAACACACATACACACGTGCCCAGAGAACATTTAGTGAACATCTCATGTTATTTGTGACCAGCTCCTGGGAGACATCCTCACACATTACACTGGGAAGGTAATCTTAAACCCAGTATTAAAACAATCTATACATAACAGAACTTTAACCTTACAGTTAGCCTTTTTAGGAATTCAATAGTGTCAATAATTGGTGGAATTGAACTCGTACCTGTTTTACCAAGAGGTCTCCAATGTTCTGGATTATATAATTCCGGTCGCTCCCTTCTTCCAAGGATTCCTTTCGGCGCTCCTTTAACTGGAGCAGAAATTGCCCGTGCAGGTCCAGCAGCTCATCCACACAGGGGAAGAGCTTGTTGATGACAGCATTTGGGAACTGCAGTTCCTCTCGCATGGCTTTGGAATACACCTTCAGCATTATTTTCAGCGTCCTAACGTGGTGCATTTCAGTCTGCATTAGTTCTGGGCAAGGGGAAATAAAAACCATCACAAGTCATTTATACACTGTGTAGTGATTACTGAGATATAAAAGACCAGGCTCTGAAAGCCACCATCTTTTGCACCTCCTCCTTCCTCACTACAGTCTTTGCATTACTGATGTGAAGCTCCTAAATTTGCCCTGTTCATCTTCCAACCAAACAGTGACTGACTCTACTTATTTAACCACATGTCCCAGTTGCAGTTGAGCTATTCCCTAAACGTACAGCTGGGCTTTGCTGCTTACTCAGACATACTGAAAACTATGGGTTGCTTGAAATCACTAATACATGGACTAAGACAGGTAACAGACTTTAAAATCTTCACTCTATTTTAGTTTCCAAGTACAAGTCAAAAATGGGAGCCAATAAAAATTGTTTCTGCTTTGTTTCAAAACAGTCGCACTATTAAAGAGAGAAATCGACAAGAATAACAAATATTCTTACCATAAATGACATCTTGCCTTTTTCTAACATCTTTCTTTTGCCTTTCTGCGTATGCCTGTTCCACTGCAACACTCCAAGACTCTGCCTCAAACTCATGAGCATCCGTTTCTATTTCACTTCGGAGGGATACAGAATATGCATCTAGAACCAAAAGCACATTCAATTTCAATCATTATTAAATCGTTTCTCACCACATCCCTCATTACCATCATTAATAACAATTGCAAGAGTAAAAGCATCTCAGTGCTGCTTTAAGACTGCATAAGAAATTGCATAAAACTCCTGAAAAGCACAGAAATTCCATACCTTCCAGAAAAATGGAGTCTGCTGTTGAAGGTGCAAGCGAGACAACATCATCTGAAGTCTGCTTAAATTTTATAAAGCCTGAATCCCCTTCATCCATGTCTCCTGAAATTAGTCTAAATGGCCAAAGAAATTAGACCAAGGGACCAAAAAAGAACATTAATGTTTTTTAAGTTCCTTGACACAACAACAACAAAAAAAATCCAACTACTTTAGCAAGCATCTTTCCTAAACTATAGTGCAATTAACTTAAAATAAATACATAAAAGCTATAACAAAAAAAATCCAACTACTTTAGCAAGCATCTTTCCTAAACTATAGTGCAATTAACTTAAAATAAACACATAGAAGCTATCATTGCACTCCATCTTTAAACAGTCCAATCAATTTAGCAACTCCATCACTGAAATATTACAGTTTTAATTAGAGCAGCATGAGCAAGAATGCAACTTCTGGTATGACATTTTAAAAAGACATCACCTGGTGACAAGCCATTGCCAGTTCAGAGCACAAAGGGCACTCTCCCTGAGCAGGGAGCAGAACTGTGCCACACAAAAAGTAAACAACTACTTAAAAGAGCAGACAGCTCTGAATTTGTCTGCTATTTTCATTAAAGCATCCTGCAATTTAAAACACTGCTGTCTCCTACACCAGTCAGAACTAGCACAACCTAGAATAACTGATACTCGGAAGGGATTCTTGAATTTCAACAAGTCTGAAGACAAATATATCTATGAAAACCATAATCTAGACAGAGACAGTCAAATACTGCCTGATTTTATTTCATATCTTTCACGACACAGTACAGAGGGACGACAGAGATGGTGATTTAAGCAAAAAAATAGCTGTTCTGGGAAACGAACTGCAGCATTAGAAGCTCAACAAATCTCTTTTGAGCTCGAAAGGCAATGTGAATTCTTGCTTTAGGTCTGTAATTGTTTTTCTTTTCACATTTGGCAAGGGGGGGGTGGGCAGCAGAAGCGAGTGAATTATAAGAGAAGCATTTTACTTACCCAAATTTATTAACAGCTCCAGCAGTATTCAACGAAGACTGAGAATTTCCTCTTTGGGCGATAGTCATACCGAGATTCCGTGAGAGTACTGGGGTGCCATCCGGTCCCAGGAGAAGACTTCGGGGCTGCTCCTTCAGAGAAGCTGCTAAAGAGGCAAAAATGGAATTGGTGCTCAGAAAATGAGGCGTACACTGCAGATCCCCTGCTCTCAAACCTCTCTCCGAATGCGGCCGGAGAACAGACAGGATCTTGGATGTCAAGAGCTCGTTGTCCAAAAAAACATTCTCATTCCATTTTCTCGAAAAGGAACCACAAAAAGAGAGCTCGGGATGAGCTGGAATCGTGTTGCTTCTGCCGCTGCTTTTTGAATTTGTATTCCCCATGCTCACTCCTGGCTGCCCTCAGCCTTGGCACAGTAAAGTGGCCCCAGAGATGCACTGTTTTTATACTACCTGTGATCTTTCTAGAAATGTAAAGCTGCCACTTAACTTACTGTATTGGCTAAATCAGCAGGTCTGAAGTGCAGGAAATTGGTCCCTACTGTGCCCATTTAGTGTGGAAATTGCAAAGTATCTTCTCCTTTAGTAAAACACCAGAACCTACACACAATTATTCACACCCTACCGTATAAGGGCACAGAACATTTAACGGCAAACAAGAAAAACCTGAGATCACATAAAAACCACAAGTTCTTTGCAATGCTTATTGCAACACAGTGATTTATATCTGCATGCACACACATGGAACGTAATAGATACCAGAGCTAAATTTAATTCTAATACTGCAGCTTTTTAATGCTTTTTATCTAGACAGACTGTGAAGTGGAAAGATATTTCAAACTTTAATCACTATTACACAATACACGGAAGCCTGTAATAGACTTATGAAAAATGGATACAATTATTTAGCACTAATGTCTGTAATGAATGATAAAGAACAGGAGACAAAATACATCCTTTTAAAAGAGGAACTTCAGGGAAGTTAAAGATGAAGAATCAGACAGACAATTTTTAAAACTTCTCACTGACAAGGTCTACAGCTGCCCTTTTTTCAAAGTGCTTTTAAGGACATGGGAGTGGAAGAGATCTCCTGGATCCTTGAACCCAGGACTCTGCCACTGCATGGAAGCTTTGTCTTACACCCAGACCGAACCCTTCTCCCAGTGGGAGGCTGCTCCAGTGCTGTTGGGACAGTTCCAGAGGGTCTCCAGTTCCCAGCCAAGGTTTATGCATTGACAAATTACAGCTTTTCTTGTTTTCACTGGTTTCTACCCATCCCCAGAAGTTCCCCTTTCTGAGTCTGCACTCTTTGTGCACCTCCACTAACAACCACCTCTCCCTCCACTTCCGCCTTGCTCAACCAAACACAGCTAAATCGAGGTATTCATGGTTCTTCTCATAAAACAGGTTTTTCCACATTTCTTGATATCCCATACTCTACTTCTGCTTGTCTCTCATTTAATCTTCCTTGAAACAGTTGATTAGAATCGTATTAGGGCTGCAGGGGAGGTTTCATCAATGACATTGAATAGAAATTCTATCACCACATCTTTTCCTGCTGGAAGTACCCTTCCCAATACCTCTTTGGGTTTGAAATCTCTTGGATACAACAAACTGGGTAAACTGAGTCCTCTTCCATCCTTTCCAAATGCTGAGTTCTAAGCTCACTTCCCAAAAGAGAAGACTAAGTAGATATCAGAGAGATTTGTAAAGGTGGATTTCTTAAGCAAAGGCTTAATAATAAATGCCCTCCCATTCTGGGAAGTATCGAAATCATCAGTCATCAAGTTCTTTCAATGCTCCACAAGTCAAGAACATAAACTTCTGTTCCACAATGGTAGGTCAAGTCTAAAAATCTCCAGAGGCTAAACATGGGGAGAGAAATGGGGGACACACACACAGAAACAACACAGTTTGTACCTTTCTCAAAAGGTATTTCTCTTTGACATTGATGCAACACCTTTAGCTTTTTTGCTGGGCACCACAGTCTACAGCGTTATACGGTGGGTAAAGACACACAATGCCCATGCTATTAGCTGTTCCTTTAACTTCCAGCTCCTGCTTTTGACTATGGAAAATAAGCCCTGGCTGCCTGGCAGAGTCTGCACCAACAAAAAGCCATTTTCTGAGTTCAATTAGCACTGTCTGCACACTGCTGAGAGCCCGCATCGATCGTTGTTAACCTATCACACCAGACCAGACTGTGTACCACAGAGCTGTTTCAACGCCAAGCCCTACAGCCAACTTTTCCCATTTTCATTATTCCTTATTGTTTCCTATTTTAGACTCTGCACTTTCCCCTAAATGCACAAAACCATTCTCGGCAACGCAAACAGCCGCTCACCTTCTTATAACAATGATTCCCTTTGCTCTACCTCTTTGTAAGGATTGTTTCATAAAGAAGCACACCTTGCAATGCAAGTCAAATAGTATCTAACAGAAATATAAGCCATGCTCACTGTAACACTCAGACACTGATTACAGCCAAAGCAACCAAACAGACCAACTGCAAGGCAGAAAATAATTCTGCTCCAGTGAGGGTCAATCACCTGAGAGCCAAGAAGCCTATTCTGTTAATTCAAACCTCATAATGTCTACAAATTAAAATGCCATTTAAATCATACACCTGTAGCCGTGATGGTCTTTTCCAGTAGCAAAAGGCTATTTCCAAGCCTAAGTTGAAAAAGAGCTGTTCTTTCCTTGTTTTTTTTTTTCTCCCAGATCCCTTTTCCCACTTTGTTTCAACAAAGATTTATGTTCAGACCATTAGTGCTAGCTTGTCTTAGAGATTTCTAGCAACCGCTAGCTGCAGGCAAGTTTTAAATAGACAATTATGAAAATCTGATGTAAAACAAAGTTCACAGTTCTAGTCTTTTCAGAGGCCAGAGAATAGACAATCAATGAAAAACTAGCTTATTGATCCCTTTTCACCATGATATTTTGAGGTTACACAGCAAGAAGGTATAAAGAAAAATAAAAAGATAAAAAGATAAAAACACACAGGAGATTGCTAGGAGCTCTAAGCCATTCCCAATAGAAAAAAAAATGAAGCCATCTTATTAAAAGAGACCTTTTCTATACTTCAATAACACGCTGTGTATAGCCTTTAAAACATATTAAAGGAAAAAAAAATACAATTGAACACATAAGCCTTGAGCACAGAAATCATTCTTTAGTACAAACCTGGGGAAATGCACTGGGGCGAACTCTGTGGAGATCCAGAAGGTCTGTGCTGCAAATCTCTCTGCTATAGGAAAAAATACAATATTCTTACACATACAGACCAAACTTTCAGTCCAAAATGAATATTTTTCCTATCACACACCACTAACTGTACGTGAAGCTGTATACAGAACGTATGAAAGATTTGACAAAAGGAATAGTTTTGATTTTTTCACATTCCAGAAGAATAGCATAGAAACATTAACACTTTGTATAAAAACCCCATCAAGTATAAACCAGACTGAAATAGAACCAAAAATGAAGTTACAGCTGAATTGAAGCTATGATCATAAATTATTAAATGAAAGCAAACCGAATGTAGACAGTCTTCACCTGCACTCTGGGGCTGTTTAGTTTACAGCAACGCTAATTAAACTAACCCAGCCAATTTAAACTAAGATTTAGACTGCCCGTTTAAAACTGCAGTTTTCATAATCTGTACAACTTTCTCATTCTTACAACATTAGACTATTACAATTCATTGAGATACAATTTATCAAGGATGCAAAGAAATTAAATAAGTAAAATAGCTCGTAACAAATGGCTTTCTGGGAATCTCGCTTCGCTTTGAGGATCTTATTTCTGATTTCATTCCCTGCATCATTTTGTGCGACTGCTCCCTCTTCGTTCCTTCAGGAGTGGTTTGTAAGGGCTGATTCAACCATGAAAGTTTGGGAGATGGCAAAGGGTGGAAATGAAAGCATCAGAGCAAGTGGATCTTTTGGCTTCAAAGGAAAATGCACAATGCCTTGAGGAGTTTGTAAGTATATATCAAAAACCCCACAAGAACATTTTTGCCTTCAAAAGTGTTATATTCTAAATCACCAATGGCTGAAAGCACTTCCTCTAACCTCCAATTGCCTGGGTTTGAGCTGCTCTGCTCTCTCTTTTCGCGCTCATGGTACTCCCTAATCTGCTATCAGGCTCTGAAATCATCAACACTTGCAGGTTGAAACAAACTGAAACTCCCCCAAGTATAATTAGTTACAAGGAGGAGGAAATGATTTTCAAAACCACCGGCAGAATAAAACACAGGCCAGATAGCTGTCTATCTGAAACCAACCTGTGACCTCACATGCAATCACAGGCACCACAGTGAACACAGATAAAAAATGAACAGCTTAGCAAGATATAAAGTTCATCACTGTTCAAAAACAAATCACCTATTCTGCATTGCTCAGCTTATAAATAATACACAACTGTTATAACCAAATTCTTCTCCACCCCTCACACGCTTCCATCAGCTTTGAGATGGCTCAACCTATTAAAACAGTGGCATAAAATTCAGAAGTACCATATAATTCAATTATATTCCCTCAAAAAGTGGTATATTCAAGCATTCAGACACAATTCCGATAGACACAAGCAATGGTAAGTAAATTTCAGTACAGCAATAAAACATTTCACTTTATTTTCCCTACATGCATTGCCGTAAATTACTATAATGACAAGTTAATAACCATTCAGTGTCTTGAAGATGTAGGGCAAGATTCTGTACTCATCTGAATTCAAACACATGCACTAAATTAAACTTACTACGTCAAGCATTGTTATTATAAAAGAAGAATGAATTTTAAAACCCACCTTGGGTCTGATGCTGCTGCATTCAGCCAGTAAACTCCTGCAGTTCTTATGGACATTCACTGCACAATCTGAAACAAACACAAATTATCTCATCATTCCCATCTAGGGAAAGGAAGAGTGACACATAAAAGACCTTCATTTTGGAAGAGATGCAGAGTAAGCTCAGGTGTTTCAGCGAGCATCCACGTTGAGCATGGTCTGTTCTCGATTTTACACCAAATACTCAAGCTTTTTCAATAAGAGAATCACTGATAATGCAATTCACACGTGCAAGCACAGAGACACCACTGAATGCACTGACAGAATTCTCCTTTATCTCCACCCGACCAGAGCGCTGCTTTCCTCATATTTGCAAAGGTTATTTCCACGTCTCGATTCAAAATTGATACCATTCAAGAAGACAGCAATTTTCTTTGGCTCCACAGGAATTAACTGCCTTTCTGCACAGAGTATTAATAGGAGCTGAAGTAACTACAATGAAGTTCAAAACACCCCCCCAGAATCATCTGAGCCATTACCCCTTTTCTAGCTTCACAAAGGAACTGTTTCCAGGTAAAGAACTAAAGCAGCCCCCTCTCACCCAAAAGGCACAAACCCACAAATACCATAGTAAAATCCAATCTCTTTTTTTCCTTTTAATAACCACTGCTTGAGAAAATATTTTCTGCAGTCCACCTGCCCATCTATAAAACAAGGTCCTTCATCAATAGCAGAAGCAGGACACTCAGCCAGCAAAGGAAACCAATATTTGTTTCTTCCCATATATTCAGGCATGAAAATATGAAAATATTAAAAGAGAAATAGAAGAAAACAGGGAAGATAGCCACTACATCTCCTAGGGAAAAGTCTGTTTATGTTTAAAACACAGAGGTAAAACTATTTAAGGTCTCTTCAGCCAAACATAACTATCACCCGCGCCTGGCGCCAAGACTGGTGACATGCTTTGGCTAACGTAGAAAAATGCTCACTTTTAAGCATTTTCCATAATTACAGTAAAACTCTGAGAACGGGAGCGAAGCTCTTCCTTGGCCTTAAACACAAATAAATGAATAAAGATATAAAAACAAGACTGAGAGAAAGACTGAGTGCACAGACCAGAAAGATGCTTACGTGTTAGGCAGCTTCCATGAAGGTGGGAAATGGGAGCAGAATATGGCACTCTGAGTCCCTGCCACACACGTTTCCCCAAAAAAATATCACCTCCCACAACTTCTCTCTTCTTTGTGATACTCCCACCACCACCACACCCCACGCAACAAAACAAAAGGCGCTATATCTAATTTCAAATGTATGTGCCTCTGCAAATGTATGATAAAAACGTGTCAAAATGATTCACTCGCTAAAACTCTGCGGAGAATAACAAATATATTATCTATTGCATTGATAAGGCCTCCGCCTACCACCAGAAAATGAAGAGCTTGTTAAGACATGCCACGACAACAAATGAGTTGACAATGGAAACCCCTTTTCCTCCCGGGACAAAGGAGGAAACTGTAGGACAAAAAAGCACCACACAAAAGGAAATAGAAAAAAAAATTCTCAATGACGTCAAGTGGGGTTGGAGTCTCACTTACAGACGGGCTCCCTCCGGGGCAGAACGGGCACCCCGAGGGAGGGAAGGGTTCATACAGCCACTGCCCTCCCCAGAGCCCCACAACATCGCCTTCCCTCTCCAAATCCACTTCATTCAGCTACAATTGTGTAACACAGTCATCGATAAACGTTTTATCAAACTTTAACTAGACATTCATATGCCCTGACATTTCCATATCAGTGATTACATTCGATAATTCTTTTCTATTAATGATTAGTAGGAGCAAAGCTACTTCAAAAGCTTGGCTGCCTTGCTAAGCTAACTGTAAAAGGGCTATCAACTTAAAAATATATATCAGTTTTAAAAACCATGCACTTGCTGTGTTAGCAATAACAGCTTATACCACTCTCAGTAGGTATTTTTCACTTAATTACTTGACATATCTAATAGTGCTATGTCTTAGTTTCCTGTGCTGCTGAAAGATTCTTTACATAACAGGAGAGAACATACCAGAAAACAGGAAGATGCTACAGAAAAGCCTCAGAAATCTGCAGGTGAATCCAAGGACTTGATTCTCCAAGAGACTAGTTGAAATGCAATTAACTTACCGATTTCCAAGTGGCATTATTTTTTTGCCCACGTAAGAGAAGAGAATTTTGAAAACTGGCAGAAGAATCAGACTGTTTCATAAGCTTATTTCGTTTTATAAAACACACTCCTGCTTTCCCTATTCCAACACACTTTTGCAGACGGTGCTGAACCAACTACACTCCAGTTCAGGATGAGAACAAGCATTTGAATACCACTGAATTTGATTTCCATTTTCTGCATATAATATCTCTTTGCATTCTTTATTCTTCCGGACAGCCTCTCTGAACAGGGTACTGCAGGGGTCAGGAAAACAGCAAAGAGAATAATGAGGGACAAAGGACAGTGAAGAAGTGACAGGGACCTGCACACATTGAGACTGATATTTGAGGACAGAGATATATATGAAGGGTTGTTAGAAGTGTACAGGAATAATAGATATCTAGCCTTAGAAAGCACAGATTGCAATCCAAAGAAAAGGAAAGGAGCATTCGTAAATTTAAAACTGATTAAAAAAAGTATTTTTGCATGTACATCAATAACTGGTAGCATTTCAATTTATCCAGATCAATTATTTGGGAAAAAAAATATATTGCAATCCAAAGAAAAGGAAAGGAGCATTTGTAAATTTAAAACTGATTAAAAAAATTTTTTTTGCATGTACATCAATAACTGGTAGCGTTTCATTTTATCCAGATCAATTATTTGGGGGAAAAAAAAAACAAACCAAAATAAAATGGACAGTTATGTCAGGAAGCTCTTCTTAAACTGGAGAGGGACAGAAGGTATTCCTGAGAAAGACAGAGCTAAAAACTCAGAGGAGTCTTCCTCTTCCCCATCTTTTCCTCCCTCCCTCACTCACTGGAACTGCAAGAAGATTAATTTGGCAGGGAAAAACAGATCCTCCGGAGGATTTCATTTTGACACAGACCCTGCAGCTCTGACTAGTGCTGAGAACATCAGTTAGACCTGCCCATCTAGAAGGTCCAAGGACCTTCTAGATCCATTCTTCGGATGGGGACAGGACCACCACTGCTAGAGCTAAAGGTACGACAGCAATCGATACCACACGGAAACTAAGCCATCCCACCACGGTTGTTTCTGGCCTTAAATCCAGAGTTTGGGAATTAAGGCTGAGAATTTTGGGAGCATCACGTTATCCCACATCTGCTCACTGTGGGGACTGTCACTGCCTCTGAAGCACTCTGCATGGGCTAGTGCCAGCGATGACCTATTGCTCATGGAAACAAACAGGGGCCTCATTCAGCACAGAAACATTTAAGACCACGAGGCTCATAAACATCATAAAAGATCCCGTTTGTGATTGAGGGTAATAAAATTAATATTTAGTATAATAAAAAACCTTCCCTCATTAAGGCGATGCTTTCCCAAAGGCTCACAGGAACCAATTTACAGCTTAAGAGCATTTTATTGGACAAGCCATCCCAGTGCCCCAAAGCCTAACACTGATTCACAGTATGCAAGAGGGTAATGAACCCGGCTGAAAAAAGGGCAGGCGAATACATTTTTCTCCCCCAGCTGGAATACCTTCCACTGGATCAGACACTGGCAATGTCCTATAAACATCTTCCAGAATTGGATTCCAGGACAAATCTATGACTCACCAGATATTATGAGTATTATGACCCCGACCTTTGGTCTGGAACGGTACTGCCCAGTAAAATAACTCTTGAAAGCCCATTTGCAAACAACTACAACTAACAGATGTGATGCGATTAATCTAAAATTAAACTAACATATATATATATATTCCTTAAGTATATGGAACTCTTGAAAGCCCATTAGCAAACAACTACAACTAACAGATATGATGTGATTAATCTAAAATTAAACTAATTTTTTATTTATATATTCCTTAGGTATATGTTTTTTAGTGTTTTTTAAATGACATAAAAAAACCTTTAAAACAGTTAAGTTCAAGCAGGGACACCTTTTAAGAATGACTGTAACAATACAAGGAGTTTAAGCAGTATTTTAACACTAAGGATATATTCATCACTTATTAGATCCAACCAGCACCACGGAAAAAATAGGTTTCTTGTGAAATGGATAATTTTTATGTTTTCTTATATCCAATGCTTCAGGGATCAAAGAGAATCTCTTTCCTCACCCTTAAACTATACAATAGGTAATTCCTCTCTCTCTAGATGACAAAGGAAACAACTTGCATATGAATGATTAATGGAGAATATAAAATCTGAATTTATATGTAGAGATACACAACACAACAGCTGAGAAACATTTCAAGCCACTACAGCATTCCGGAAAAAGCCGAGTGACTTTGTGATCAATCTCCTCAGGAAAGAGGAGGAGCTTCAGGGGAACACGAAGAAGTTTCTGCGTTCGGTAAATCCAGGTCATGTATCTGCAGGAACTCGGAGCAGATTTAACTTTGTCCCAGTGGCTTTGGTGACTGGTGTTTACTTGTTTTGCCAACTTGCCTAATTACGTGGAGGCAGAAACCAAAAACTGGAAGGGTACAGGGTGATGAGATACTTCACATTCTGAAATAGAGCCAGTCTGCGCGAGAAAGCAACAACGCTAAATTATCAAGTTTCAGCTTCCCTCTCAAAGCATTCCTCTTCGTCTCCGAAAACAACCTATAATTACTTTATCACTGTATCTGGGTTTATTGTCAAAATATCAGATAAATGGATGGGGGGGTGGGGCTGTGTCGTTCCCAATGCTGCAAGTTCTGGTGACCTTGGGGTTTTCTTTAAGCGCAGAAACCCAAACCGAACAAATGAACAACTGATGTTTCCTTCTTTAAACAATGCCAAGTAAAATTAGCATATTGTCCTAAAAGAAACACGAATGCCATTTCAGTTCTCTCACGTTGAGCCCTTCCCCCATTCTACGGGAACGCTACAGGACTGAAGCTGCAACTATGACAATCATAAAAGGTATTTAAAATATTCCATAGGT